GTTGGCAAAAATCCCTTCCAAATGCATGAATAGTGATCGTTTTTTTTTCCGACTTCCCCGGTCACTCCACTGTGAAAATACCGGAGTGATACCGAAGTGATAAGGAAGTGATACTGAAGTGAATCTACTATATATTTTGAAAAACATATAACAAAGTATGTTGTAAATTTATGACACTCCCGTCTTGTTTGTCGATTAATTCCAAGTCGAAACGTTGTTTGAATTTTTCTAATTTTTAGTTGCAAATTTAAGGGCAAACAAAAAAATTTGCTCCTAAACCACCTAAACCCTACAACTACTTTTCACAGTAGGTTCAGGCCCATCTTGCATTCTACATTACAACTCTCCAATTGTTCCCGTTGAAGGCCAAGGCACCAGACTAATAGTTGAAAACGTCACCGGTGCAAATGAGCAACGAAATGTGGCAAATAAAGAACTAGTGTTTAAGATCGGTGCGTTGTTTACCTTTCTTGAAACGAATTTTAATCGTAAACCTTTCTTGTTTTTACCGGCCTGTTCCTTTGACACACAACGGTTTGTTTCCAGCTGGTAGACGATGTATATTTCATCACTGACTCCTCTCGTTTCATTCGCTTGAGGGCAAAGTATGCCCGGAAACCAACATACGCCTACTTGTTTTCGTTTCAATCGGACTACAACCAACCTCCTCGCGACCCAAGAAACCGCGATCACCTTCGAAACGGTAAGAACCGTTTGGGTCCTCCACTCTCCAAGTTCATTATCACACATATGTGCCACTCGTTACGACATTTCTGTCATACATGGGAATGGTGTGTCTGCGAATCATCCATATGTTAAGTATTAATTGAACCTACTTTATTACCAGCGGTGATACACGGCGACGACCTGGGATACATTTGGCGAACTGAGCGAACCAAAGGCCTCCAAGACCTCAACGGCACAGGCAAAGCGGCGGTCGCTCTGCGGCGACAAGTTGCAATGTGGTCCAATTTCATAAAGTATGGGTAAGTAATGAGATCGCTCGTTTTGAAAATTTCTATGGATCGACAAACTTCTTTGAACAGCCGTAGTACTAATAAATTTCGTGGGTAGAATACGAACTATCTTGAAAGTTTTACATGCTATCAGTCATTTTAAGTCTGCTAGGAGTTACATTGTTTTAAGCGCGATTCTTAGTATTAACAAAATCGCGAATATTAGTGACAAAGTTTGTGAGTAGCTGCATTAAAATATTGTTTCAGAGATCCAACACCATCGACAAATGCGGGTTTGCTGTCCGTGCGATGGGCTCCGGTGCGACACTTGACACAACCAGCTTATTTGGAAATCGGAGAAAATATGACCATGCAACAAGGCGTCTTCGAAAATTCAAACAGCCCCTGGGCTGCTCTGTTCAGCAGTTTGCGGGACAATAAAAGTCTATAGCATTCATAAGTCTGGTTTTGGTTTTATGTAATCTTGGCTACACTCCGCGCCTAAAACAGAAGAAATGTTTATAGACTATTCTAGACTATTCAGTTTCGACATGGACTCACGTCGTGAATAACAAAAGAAACCACTGCGCGTGCGAGGGCTAAGGGGGGGGGAGGGGGGCTATGGGCTGTTGTTATTCCCGTGAGTCTTCATCAACATGTCTGGTCTGCCACCGGAAAAGTATGTTGGCTCCTTCCTTACTTTTGGCCCTCTATTGCTGACGCAATTTAATTGTAGCGCCTTTTTCCAATTGAGAGCAGGCAACTACCTGGTCGGTTAACCCATTTCTCATGAAACAAATAAATTTCCGACCTAAACTTTTCTCACAGAGGCCGCCGAAAACGGGCCCAGAGCCGATTGAAGGAGGCGTTCCTTTACACTGTTTCTCTTATTTGCAGGGACCCAATACGCATTTTTCTTAAGTGACATGTACTATTTGATTATTTGACATGTCTTGGTGGGTACAGATCAATTTCTGATCGAATTCGGCGCCTCGGAGGGCGATTGGCATCCACTCCACCCCCTAACGCCCAGTGTCATTTATAAGGGGGGTACGCTTTTTACGCTTTTCCTTACCTTTGGCCCCCTATTGCCGACGCAATTCGATGAAGAGGCGGAAATTCTCTTTCGAATGATCCAATATTACGTTTTCGGTGAAAAAGCGACTTAAGCGGTTATCCGGAGCGCCAAGCGAGGTAAGCGGTTGTCCGCAGGCGGGAAGTGAGCTGAGCGTTTGTCCGCAGCCGCCGAGGCGGTGAGCGGTTTTACAGAGGGGGTATCGCAATAAGAAGACCAAGAATAAATTTGAAAAGTCTTGGACTATCCTTTTTGTGCACAGTAATGCCAGTTTCCTCCAAAAATTTCATTTCTTGAATGAGTGGATCAAAGGCTTTATCGTTACCAAACTCCTCTCTATCTGCACTGTTAAAAAGCAAAGCAATGAATATGTAACGCAAAGCTGATCTGCACTCAGGAGGAAGGCAGGGTATTGATGCATAACAAGCCCCCAACTTTCCAGGATTAGCACCTAATCCATTATTGCACTCTATATCGTCAAAAATGCAAACAGAGGTAAAACTATGACATCATCAGGAAAATGTTCTGATTTGGTTTTCCACAGTTCACTCTGAATGAAGTTCGAAATTGTTTCTCCATCTGTTTTTAGTTTCTGCACATATGACAAAATATCATTTAAACAGTTAGGTAGTTCAAGAATTTCTTT